AAACAAAGAATTATTAATTAAAAAAAAAAAACTGATAGTTTGTAAATTATTCTTATGCCAAGTTCTTAAAAAAATAAACAAATAATAATTATTATTTATTATTAATAATAATGATTTATTTATTATAATTTATGTTTAAAATTTTATGCACATTTTCTTTTTAAATTAAATACTTAAGCACTTTATGCACTTAGGAACCAAAGTACAATGCACAATTCACAATGCACAATGCACAATTCACAATGCACAATGCACCATGCACCATGCACCATGCACCATGCACCATGCACGTCATTCATTTCATCTGTAATATTTCTATTTGAATAAATACAATCTCAATTATTATTTTTATTATTAGAATATTAAGTAAAAAAATAGTAAAATAAAAAAAAGTATACGTAAGAAATTGGCACAAGTATAATAAAGTGGCAACGATTATGTCAATTGATTTTATCTCTCGATGAACAATAAATCACTCAAAGTGTAAGATCAAAATAGATCTCTAAATTCCGATTATCGAATGGAACTATTATACAAATTTTAACTTAAATAAGGTGTTGATTTTAAGACGAAACAAAAGTAAAAAAAAAAAGAAAAAAAAAATTCAACAACAAAGTCACATGTCTTCCAAATAATTAGAATAAACGATTAGCACGCTTCATGATAAGAGATTATATCTTTGTATAATTAATATCGAAGATAAATCGTATCTCATCGTGTAATCGTAATATGTAAACGAATTTATATAAAGCTAGAAATAATAAAAAAAAAAATAAAATAAAATAAAATAAAAGGGGGAAAAAAAACACAAGAAAATTAAACAAATAAACAAAGAGATACCCCACGTGTACGATAACAAAATTTCACCGTACGTAATGTAAAAAAATAAAACAAATATAACGTCTGAAAAGGAAACAAAGATAAATAAAAATTAAAAAAAAAAGAAAAAAAAAACAACAAAGATAACATACTCGAGATAATAAAAAAAAAAAAAAATTCGACGGAAATGAGTAAAGTAAAAAAAAAAAAAAATTAAATAAAATAATAAAAACATTGGATACGATGTTTGTGCTGTGCACTTTGTAATCGTAACCAATATTACAAATAACAAACACACCTAGCCCAACCCTAATCGCCCTAATTTATCCACTGTATATCAATGTCTAATAAATAAACTGCTGTTATCTCAAATTTGTTAATACTACATCACAATTTCTACTTTTCTTTTTTTTTTATCTACCTCAAAAAAGAAAAAAAAGAAAAATTATTCGATTATCTAAATAATCTTTAAAAAAAAAAAATTCAATCGATATTTAGTCCGATTTCAATCTAATCGATTGAATACTATCTATTTAATTATTATTAATATTATTATTTTATTATATTATTATTTAATTATATTTAATTATTATTATTATTCTTGAAGATGAAAGTTTTGAAAAAAACTATACTTGTGAATTAATTTATGCTAAAATAATAAAAAAAAAAACAAAAAAGATACAATAGAAATGAAAACTTGTTTTTATATTTTTTGTATACTGTGTGGTTCGATAAATAAGTATGCATACGTGAATGCAAATATGTGTATTAATTAAGTCAGATGATAATGTTAAAACTGGTTGACCCTGACGATATCTACTGGTGTAAACCGATTAAATTTAAAATAAACTTTATATTACGAGGCAGTAAGAAACTTCTGTGACTCGACGACAGTGCTTAGAAAATAACAGAAGAAACGATGAAATCTTTTATCAAGTATTCCACCAATAGTGATTATCCTATCGAAAATCTACCTTATGGTATTTTTTCTACTCGAGATAAGGTAAGTTTTGTTTTATCGATTCATCTTAATAATTACACAAGTTATTATTTTTTTTTTTATCTTATCTAATTAAAACACAAATCTCTTGTTTTCATCGATTGAAAATAATAAATAGGTTATGTCATACGTGGTGTAATAAAACTACGTTTATTCTGTTTCAAAAGAAGATCGTATAGATAATTAATAAAATTCATTACGTTGTTTATAAAAAAAATCAAATAATTTGTAATCGTAACTAACATATATTCCTGTCTCATTATTTTCTTTTACGTATCATCTGATTTTCTTTTGTTCTTATTAAATCGAACATTTATCGTGTGTTGGTAAGAAAAATATTTTAATTATCATATTTAGTTAAATTAAATTTTAGTTACGTTCAAAGAACTGTAAGGAATGTTTGTTGAATTTTACGATGAAAAATATTGAAATAAACAACCACGTATGATTTATAATAAATAAATGGAACAACAGTCAAATCCAAATCTAATAAAATGAATAATAAACTGCAGAGATCTGTATGATCGACGATAGGTAAACCTAAATCTATAAAATAAAAACAAAAGAATAGAATTACAAAGCAAAAAATGAAATTAAATACGAGCTTGCATTCGGTATAAAAAAAACAATCGTCGAATGCTTTAATGAAATCGCGAAAAATCACAGCCATCAGCTCGACAGTACTTGCGTTGTTAATAAAATTAAATAAATAAATAAATAACAATAACATCGCAAGTAATATCGATTGCCCAGGTCTCACCACGGGGAGGTTGCTGTGTACGGAGACCCATGAAATTAATCAAATTTCGAATAAAATAATAAATAAATTAATAAAAATATTTGTCTTGAAGAAAATTTAACGAATACGTGCTTCTTATATGAAATGTTGTAATGAAATGACAAAAGTATGAAATAATAATAACATTTTATTATGTGTTTACCAACCTTGTAACTTTGAAGAACAAACGTAAACAAAAACCGGTCGTGCGAGACACGTATACATATGTATATGCACACACCTTAAGAAATGTTTCCAAAATATTTTCGAACATTAATATACAATCTATTTTATAGTTCAATAAAATTGTTATTAAAAATGTTTTTTTTTTTTTATAAATTTACTGCATTATCCACTATCATTCGTTAAAAGTTTAAATAATCAATTTTTTAATTATAATACAAAATAATTTTTATTTTCTTTACTAACACAATTGTATACGTACGATAATTTTTTTAAATAAACAAATTAAATCATATTAATAATATATAACAAAATCATTAAAATTTTTAGCCTAATAAAAGAATAGGAGTTGCAATCGGTGATGAGATATTAGATTTGAGTCAAATATCTCATCTTTTCGATGGTCCAATATTAAAAAACAATCAGGATGTATTTCGTAAAGATTATCTCAATGATTTTATGGCCTTGGGAAGACCAGCATGGTTAGAAGCAAGATCAAAATTGCAATATTTGTTATCAGAAGATACCCCAATATTGCAAGAAGAAAATCTTCGTAAAAAGTGAGATTTAAATTATGTTGAAACATATAAAATATCATTTTGATTTGATTCAAAACAATGAATTTGATTTTGTTTTAGGGTATTCGTGAAACAGGAATCGGTGCAGATGCATTTGCCAGCTAAAATAGGAGATTATACTGATTTCTATTCGTCTATTCATCACGCAACAAATGTTGGTTGCATGTTTCGTGATAAAAATAACGCATTGTTCCCTAATTGGTAATAAATTAGCATGATTAAAAAAAACGTGTGTGTATGTGTGTGTGTGTGTGCATCTGTTGCAGTTAAAAAAAAACTTTACAAACCAATAAATAAATTCACAATGAATCAAATTACAATTTTCATTACTAAATGCATCAATTAATTTGTTATAACAAATTTATCCATTGTACATTTATCATACTTAAAGTTATTGATTGATGATCATTAATATATATAAAAATTATTTATAAATAATATATATAATTTTGTTAATTTATTTAATTTTTAATTTTTTAACTGGATGCAGGAAATATCTTCCAGTTGGTTATCATGGAAGAGCAAGTTCAGTTGTAGTATCTGGTACACCAATAAGAAGACCATGTGGTCAAACAACACCAATACCTGATGCTGATCCTTTATTTTCTCCAACAAGGTTAATGGATTTCGAATTAGAAGTTGCATTCTTTGTTGGTGGACCACCAAGTGAATTGGGCGAACCCATTACTGCTGAAAATGCATATGACCATATTTTCGGCATGGTTTTGATGAACGATTGGAGTGGTAACACATTTTATTGATCACTATAGTCACATCAAAATATTATTATTATTATTATTATTAGATAAAATTTATTAAATAAATTTTCCGAAAATTTTATAATTGCAGCAAGGGATATTCAAAAATGGGAATATGTTCCATTGGGTCCATTTTGTGCAAAAAATTTTGGAACGACAATTTCACCATGGGTAATCACCATGGAAGCATTAGAACCATTTAGGATTCCTAACAACGAACAAGATCCAATTCCATTTCCTTATCTTCGTCACAAGGATAATTGCAATTTTGACATCAAATTGGAAGTTGATATTAAAAGTATTCAATTAATTGGATTGTTATTAATTATGAGATTTATTAATTATGATATAAAATAATTAATTGTTTATATTTTTATCTTGTTTAGCACCAAATGGTATAGTTACAACAATATGTCGTAGTAATTATAAATATTTGTATTGGACTCCTAGACAACAACTTGCACATCACACAGTAACCGGATGTAATATTAATCCTGGAGATTTAATGGCTTCCGGTACCATAAGTGGTGAGGTCAGTATATTTAAAAATAATTATGAAATAATTTAAAATTAATATTTGTACGAATGATTTACTGATATTTCAATATCAAATCAAACAAATTACACAACTTTGAAAAAATTAAATAATACATTTTATTTTAAATTGTTTAAATTATTATACGATAATAATTAATAAAATTTCAGGCAGTTGAATCGTTTGGTTCCATGTTGGAACTTTGTTGGAAAGGTACGAGAAAAATTCAATTAAAAGATGGCACTACGAGAAAATTTCTCGAGGATAACGACGAGGTTATCATACGTGGTAATTATCATTAATTTATTTTCTTATTATCTTTATTATTATTATTATTAACTATATCATTTAATTAATTACAATTTCTAACAGGTTATTGCAATGGTAATGGTTACCGAATTGGTTTTGGATCATGTGCAGGAAAATTATTACCAGCTATTACTCATTAAATTTATTTCAATTCGATATATAATTTTATATTCATGTTTTATTAACAATTTTTAACTAACGTTAAATTTGAAATAAATTTTATAATCGTTTTGAAATAATATTATTAACAAATAAATTTTTATTAAATCCTTAAATGATTTATATAATATTACTAGCTGTGCCCCCACCACAACGCGTTCCCCCACCACTTCACTGACCAATTCCCCACCACAACGCGTTCCCCCACTCCTTCCTTGACCAATTCCCCACCACTTGCTTCTACGATACATCAACGTCCTATCAATGTTCTTATTATTTTATAAATAAATTAATGTAATAAAAATCTACCTGTATGTGAATGCAACATTGTGTCAAAATTTCAAAACAATCGGTAAAATAATTTTGGAAATTACTAATCAGGCACAAGCAAAATCTACACTTGTATATATATATAGATACATTTTATATTATTTAAAGGTGTAACGTGTAAAAATATTTGAATAAATTCTCAAGAAAAAAGAACTGTAAATAAATTATTTTTTATTATCATAACCTTTTTACAACACGTCAAAACGTCACACAGTCTGACGTAAAAAATGTTTGGATTATTGATTTGACCGCTGACTATGGTTATGATACGATCAATAAAAAGGCTTTAGAGTATACCTGTATATATATGTATATATGTATTTGTGTGTACAGGTGAAGTAAGGAATATGGCGAACGCTCTACTTCGGTGAGTACGACCTAACAAATAAAATCATTATAATTAAGAAAAATAATTCCAATAAATATTTCAATTCGATAAACAAAATGATTAAAAAAACAAAATAAATTATTAAATGAAAAAGGGTGGGGGGTAGTTGTTTTTGTTGTTTTTGTTTTTTTTTTTTTTAAATAGAATATGTTGTACGCAATAGAAGTCTGCATGCGTTAGAATCATCCAACGAACCAACAGCAAGGTGGACGGTACCATTGAACGATGGTAACCATGTGATTGAATTTGAACATGGGACTGCTACTGGTCGTCGGATTGTTAAAATTGACGATGAAGAATTAGTACGTAGAGAATGGATGTTTCGTTTAGTCGGAGACGAATTATTCACATTTAATGGGACCAAATTTGTCATTAGAGTTGACCCCATTCCAGGTTCTTATTTTATTTTGAACGTTAACAATTAAATTATAATTCTAAATACATGTTTTTTTTTTTTAATTAATTGTTCGTATAATATTTAAAAAAAGAATTCATTTTTGCAGGTTTTAAATATTCTTACACATTGTGGGTTAATGGGAAAAATTATAAAAATTTTGTTCAATCTCAATCGAAAATATTGAAATCTTGGTTAACTACAATAGGAGATAATGAATATAGAATTTTATTGGGTAATAATTATTATCATTTTGTATTGATTGTTTTTATCGATTAATCGATTAATATTTATACCAATGATTGTTTTATACAGACAAACAAACCCAAAATGTGTGGATTAATGGGGAACTAATTGATGTCGAGGTAATTCATTTTAAAATAAAAAAAAATAATTATTTACAATTAAACGTGCATTAATTCATGCATTGACTAAACTTTCTTATAGACATATTTTTAATTATAACCTTAAAAAATGATGCATTGATTTATTTGTTTCGAGATAAACTTTTGAATCATAACCTTAAAAAAAATGAAGTGATTTTTATCAATATTTGTATTTAATTTAAGAACGAATTTATGGATGGTGGCGCCGAGATGCTGTTTTCGGTATCAGGGTTACCAGCAGTGATTAGATCATCTAGTTCTAATCAAAAAGAAATTGGTATTGATTATATTTTATACATCGATGATATCGAAATAAATGAGGAAGGTATTTCATCTTTCGATGAAACATAATTTAATATTATGTTAAACAATATTGTATGCAGTATTAATAAAAGTGAAATAAATAATTTAATTACTGTCATATATTTATATGTTTAATTTGATTTAAATCGATACTCTCTAACCTTGTTCCAATAAAAAACAAAAAAAAACACACACACACTAACGAATTTAAATGAAAATTTCATTGACACGAGATTCTAACCAAGAAAAAGAAACAAATTGATTGTTCTAATGAATTCTAAAATTTAGAAAAATCATATTAAATTCATTGGAAATAAATTAGGAACAATGCCTTATGGGATTAGCATAAAACATAAAGAAGATGATGATATTCATTGGGATGGTAAGAAAAAATAAAAAAAGAAAAGAATTCTAACCTAATTTAAAGAACCAATATTGGAATAGAAAATTGTTGAAAATATTTTTATTGCAATTTTAGATGCATCAGATGATAAATTGAGAGATCTATTAGTTAGTACAGTAAGAATGAAAAACATATTGGAATTGGAGAATGATTTTTTCGAAAGATATTTGAGAAGAAATGATCCTGAATTATTACGAAGTAAAAAAAAAACAATATTAAATTAACAATATTACAAATTATATATTTTAATTATTTCTCAAATAATTTAAACAAGGTTAACCAAAGGTTAACGTTGAAATAAATGGTTAAAATAAATGGTTAAAGGTTGTGTTCAAAAAATTCCTAATCTAACCCCAAAATTGTCTTAAACTAAATTTTAATGAAAAAGAATAAATGTTCAACAAAAAGAAGAAAAACAAATTCACCATTTTCTAACGGGTGATTTTAAAAATTGGATGCAAAGACAGGAAACAAAAATGAAGTCAATAATAAAATGAAAGAATGTACAATAAAATATTTGATTTAAATATTTGTTAATTATTTTGATATTATTTTGATATTAGAAATAGATGAAACTATCAGTGCATCATCTAAAAGCACGCAGAGAAGTACGTATTATTATCCATCAACATCACCAACTAGAAGCATGGCTGATAGTGTTATGAGCTTTCGTGACCGAGGTTCACCAAGTACGTGGAGTATGCAATCTGGTATTCGACGTGGAATGTTGGATCCAATGATGAGAAGATTGAGGTGGTATCGATTTCTAATCGTCTGATAATAATATTATAATAATCCAACTATTTCATTTTAATATACTAACGCCAAAAAAATGCTAAGAATTTTTATATTAACCATTTATTATATATATATAAAAAAATATAAATATAAATTAATCTAAAATTTGTTTATTTGATATAATTCAATTTCGTTGAAATATTATTGTAAATAAATTGTTTCGAATTTCAATGATTAGAAATAATTGCAAATATATTTTAATTATACGTTTTAAAATTGTTAAATGAAATTGAAGTGTATTAATGTTTATATTTTAGAATAACTATACCACAAAGAATGGAAATGATGAAAATTGAAATAACAGAATACAAAAAGAAATTATTGTTATTAGAAAAAACCAATCGTAAGGAACAAATTAAATTGGAAGCTGAAATTGAAGAACTTGAAGTTCGTATTCGTGATATTAAAAATACAAAGGAACGTTTTGAAAATGAAGTTGTAATCGGTGGCGTTGATCATATTACTGGCAAAATACCAGCTGAAACTTTTATCAAGTTAATTTAATAATAATTTCATTTTTTTTTATAACAATTGAAATAGAATTAAATGATAGTATAAAACAAAAATATTCTTCATGCATTGATTTTTCAAAGGTTTATCAAAGATTGGTTGAAAAGTATTAACAGAAGTATTGAAAAAATTCGATTAAAAAGTGCAACGATCAGATTGAAAATACGAAAAGCAAAGAAACAATTAATACAAAGAGAACAACTTGGTGAAGATTTACGTCCAGTTGATTTTGAACTATTGAAAATACGAAATGAGGATTGTAAAAAACAATTTAATCGAAGTGCACAATGTTTGATTGACGTTAAACGAGTCACCGGTATTTAATGTGATAAAATTCAATTAAATTCATTCGATTCTTATATTCAATAATTTTCTAATTGTTTGTTTTTTATGAAAACTTTAGTGCAATATAATTCGAAGTTTATTAAATATAAACGAAGTTTGGAAAATTTAACATCGTTGTTTAATTCAATTACAAAAGAAATTCATTCGAATAAACAGCAAGCGAAAGATTTACAATTAAAATGTTTAATAACCGAACAAGAAATAAAAAATGCTAAAAAACAATTAACTTCATTGACCAAACTAATGAACGAATATGAGGTAAATTATTTATATTTAATTAATAAATAATTACATCGTTAACATTTGTATGAATTAAAATATTTAGGTACCAGAAATACTAGATTTCGTTAAATTACAAAACGAGCTTAGAAGTTTGAAAAAAACATTCGCTAATTTGGAAAGACGTAAAAATATCGAACAAATTAATGCTAATTTCTAAAAAAAAAAAAAAAAAATAATAATAATAATAAGAGGAAACAAAAAAATTATTAATAATAATAATAATTCACACCTACACACGTCAAATAATTTCTCAAGGCTAAAATATTTTACGAAAGATTGAAAGATATTATAACACAAGGACGTATGAATAATAATACTTAATTAAAATAATTTCCAACAACAGGAATGTGATCCTTCTGATTTATCATTTAAAAAAAAAAAATAAATAAATAAAATAAAAAATAAAATGAAGAAAAGCATTCATAATACAATTACGTAAATCAAATGCAGAACTAATTGTAAGTATAATAATAAAAAAAAAAAAAAACAAAGAAAATTAATAACCATAAAGTGTCATTCAATCAAGGTGACAAAATTTAAAGAAATGTTAAAATGTCCTTGCAGATTTTATACCTTTTTTTTTTAAAAATGTCGTATTATTTCTTACACGAGTATGAAGTAACGAATTGTGTTATGAAGAAAATAAAAAAAAATAAAAATAAAAAAGAAGAACATAATTATGTTCTTTGAAAGATAGTGAGAGAGAGTAATTATCTTACGGTTATGTCGTCACAGATTACGCCACTGGATAATTATAGCGTTACGGTAAGCCTATGAAATATTAAAAATAAGGTTCACATTTTGTCAATTACTTTCGATTTAGAAATAAATCATATTACAATCTAAAAATAATAAAATCATTCCTGATACTTCCCATCAATGATAAAAATGCATTTTTTAATCATTGTAATTAATAATCAAATAATAAATAATACAATAATTATTTCTTATTATTTTAAACATTTAATTAATCACAAATAAATTATGCAATTGATGATAAATGAACAATATTTTTTATGAAAAAATTATATTACAAAATTAAACGATAAATGTAGGAAGTAAAAGGAAATATAGAAATAAAAAAAAAGTGTATTTGATGTTTCATAGAGGTCCGTTAGTTTTCATGCTTAGTTGAACAGGAAGGGGACAACAACTTGATGTCCTCATTGATAACATATGATTTGAAAAGAAAAGAAAAAAAAAAAAGAAAAATAAAATTAAGAAATGGTTAGAATTTATTGGGTCAGTATTTTAAATCAATTATATATGAAGTATATTATGAATCATCGTCAGCCCAAAATGCAACCCCTAAGATAAATTCTACAAAAATTCTCATTTATACTAAACCAAACATAGCAACCCCTATTATAAATAAAAGCAAATTATTCATCCTATAAAGTAACCCTTTTAATTAACAATATTAATTAAAAAATATAACATACTAATTATTATACTACAACTTTGTTATTAAGTACAGTGTATTCTATATATCATATAAATATTGAATGGTTTTTTTGAACACCCTATATGAAACTGGTGTATAAAAACTATTCTAATATAAGTATAGTATATTAGAATATTTAAAAAATTGTTAATTAATCGATGGGAATGTGTATTGATGTCTAAAAGTTCGAATTATATGATCGGAGTACCGTCCTCTTCAAAATTCACCTTCAGACTGACAGGTTGTCCTCTTTCAAAATTCTTCTATTAAATATTGTTTACATGTCTTTCCAAACGTTGTACATGTGTATAACGGGTGTATTATATGTAATAATTATAAATTAGGATTATAACGTTCTAATTTTAGCATTTCAACCCTTTGGCTACATTTGACGTATCAATACGTCATGCATTTGTTTGAGCAAAGACGTACATGACGTTCTGATACGTCATTGATACTGAAACGAGATTTAATTGATTCATTCTGGTTTATTTCAAAAAGTAATGCATAATATAATTAATTATTATAATATTAAATATTAATTTCAATTATCAAAGTAATTTTCAAATAAATGTGTACCCAGAGGGTTAACATTCCTACAAATATTCATATTTGAACAGAAAAAAAGCTCTTTTGTTTTTAATCCTACAAAATATTCGATCAACAACAACAAAAAATGAATTACAACGAATAGAAATAAATTTAATAAAAAAGAAAAATAGATCAAAGTACCACACCCCAATAATAATAGTAGAAGAATGAAAAAAGAAGAAAAATCTTATGGAAATAAAAGGTGACCATTTTCTTCCTTCCTTTTTTTTTTTTTTTTAAATGGAATGAAGTACAAAAGGATCTTGGCGTGTGCCCATAATATGCGTCTGGGTGGTTACGCTTCATGCTTCGATGATGCCTGTCCCTTCCTCTTTTCGCTTGCGGTCTATCCGTCCCGGAAAAAGAATATCTTTCTCTTGCTTCCAACCGATTCAGTTTTACCGCGACACCAATACCAAACGCAGTATTATCGGTTTCACAATTCGATTTTCTATTAAATTCGACTAAAGTCGTACGATTTATTTTTTCCCCCTTTTACCACACATTTTCTTTTTCCTTTTTTTCTTTTGCTCAATTTAACTTCTGAGGACAAATTTTCTGTAAGATCAAAAGATCATCAAATCTATTTTTGTTTTCTATACCACCCTTCGAAGAATTTTATTTTGCACGTAAATATCGTTATCGTATCGATCCAATCATTTTAAAAAAAAAAAGAAAATAGAAAATAAAATGATCGAAATGTTTGTAATTTCGATAAAAATGTAAACATTTTTAAGTTGAATTGTTTTGTATCGTTGTTGTTTTTTTTTTGAAACACACGTTATATATTATATTTCTTTTTCTGTATAAACAAAGTGCAAATGTTTTTTGATACACACTTTTAAACAGTGAATATTATATACAATAATTGTGTTTGTATTAAAATATAAACGTACGGGGTGGTAATATTTTTATGCGACTATAAACTTAATAAAAAAAAAAAAATTTACGATGTTAAAAAATAATAATTAATTATTTTAATAATTATATCAACAATATAATAATTAATAATAAAAAACGATGAAGAAAATAATATTATCTATCATAATATTTGGATTAATTAATAAAATTCATAGCAGATATGTCGAGGTAAGAATAATAATAATAATAATAATAATATAATAATAATTGAAATTTAATCAATACTATCTCATAGACATAAATGCATACACTCAAACAGTGTTCGATTAACGGTACTTACAGTTTGATGATACAGTTAGATAAATAGGATAATGGTTATGCTTGAAAACGTTAGAAAAATGTACATTGTTTATTATGACCTCTAATTAAAATTGCTAATCAACTTTCTAACGATACTACTTTTTTCTACGTTTCTCATATTTTCAATTAATTTAAATAAAAATAAAAAAATATATATATATTAAATTATTTTTTAGGGACTGAACGTTGATTTAGGGGAAGCTTTGCAATTTTTACGCGAATATGAAAGAGAAGCTTCTTCAATGTGTACCAGAGTTATGAGAGCCCAATGGAATTATGGTACTAACGTTACTGAATCTACCAAAAAAAAAATGGTAAAATCAAAATTATTAAATAGACCAATAAATTCATGGGGGTTGGTTTTTCTTCTATTTATATTTACTCTAAATAAAAAGAAAATTGAACTTGCTGGCCAACTTAAGTAATTTAATATTAAAAAAAATAATTAAATAATAATAATAATAATAATAATAAATACAAATAAAAATTATTAATTAAAACAACCAATTTTGTTATTATTATTATTATTTGATTTAAGGTTAACTTAACGAGCTTTTAAAATGAAAATAAAAATAATAAAAATAATATAAATTATTATTTATATAATACAAATTATATAAATAATAAAATAATAAAATAAAATAATAATAATAAAACAACGATATTTAAAGCAATTAATAAAAAATTTTGTTTAGTTGGATGAGCAAGCATTAAAATTAAAATTTGAAAGAGCATCCTGGCGTAAAGCAGTGAGTTTTGCATGGAGTCGTATACCAGATCCATTAGCAAGAAGAGAATTAAAAATGATTGCTATCAAAGGAAGAAATGCATTGACCGATGACAAATTCAACGAGGTAAGAATCAATTAAATAAAAACATATATCAAATATAATACAAAGTAAAAATCTAATTAACAAAACTGTTTCTATCTTTAGATACATCATCTGATTGCTGAAATGAAAGAAATTTATGGTAGAACAAGATTATGTCCATACAGAAACATGGGATCTAATTGTAATCTGAGTATAGATCATGGTAAGTACTTAATACCTAAAATTAATCATAAATTATTAATATTAAACTATGTGTATTAGATGTTAGCAAAATTATGGCACAATCTAAGGATTATGATGAGCTTTTATATTACTGGCATGCTTGGCACGAAGCTATTGGACCACCCCTTAAAAATAATTTCATGAGATACGTTCAATTAAGTAATCAAGCATCCAGATTAAATGGTAAAATTGAACTAAAATATTTTAAACAAATTTTTCATGCATATACATCATTCATATAAATTATAATTTAATTGTTATTAAGGATTTGCTGATACGGGTGATCAAATGAAAGAATTTTTTGAAGATGAACAATTCGAAGAAAACATGGCTGAAGTGATCTATGCGATAATGCCATTATATAAAAATCTTTTTACATATGTTAGAAGAAAATTATTTGAAAGATATGGAAATAAGATTAGAAAGGATGGCCCATTACCAGCCCATATTTTGGGTAACATGTGGTCACAAAATTGGGAAGGAATTTATGATTTAGTTCAACCATTTCCAGCTACTACCAAACTCGATGTTACATTGGATATGATGATACTAGGATACACACCTTTAAGGTTACTAATCATGTTACTTTGATGATTATTTTATAATTATTTAGAAATTTTATATTAAATATTATTCTATTAAGAATGTTTCAAGTTGCTGAAGAATTTTTTACATCGCTTGGAATGAAACCAATGCCACCAGAATTTTGGAGATTTTCCATGTTCGAGAAACCAATCGATCGTGAAGTTATATGCACTGCTGGTGCATGGGATTTTTGTAATACCATAGATTACAGGTTAAGTTTATTTTTGTGTGTGTGTGTTATACACACCTATTGAAGAAAATACAATTAACAAATTTTGTATTAATTTTTATAGAATAAAACAATGCACCAAAGTAACGATGGAAGATTTGTTATCAACTCATCATGAAATGGCTCATTTGCAATATTACTTACAATACAAGGATCAGCCAGTTATTTTCAGAAAAGAAGCTATACCTGGTAAACACCTAAAACACCTGAAAAAAAATAATACAACATTTATTAGATTAACTAAAAAAATTGTGATAATTTATTTAGAAAACAAAATTGGCTAATTGAAAATGTTTGAACAAATTATTAATAATATATTAAAACATATTTTAGGTTTTCACGAAGCAGTCAGTGATGCAATTACTTTATCTGTGATGACACCACAACATTTGCACAAAATTGGTTTGCATAATAATTCAACGGATGGTTACGAGAGTAGTATTAATTTTCTTATGCTTATGGCACTACGTAAATTGGCATACATTCCTTTTGCTTATATAATCGATCAGGTAATTATTTTGGTCTTATATTGAAATTTATTTAAATAAATTTTCAAAATTATTATTTACAACACAATTTACATTATTCATTGCATTTAAGTGGAGATGGAGTGTTTTTAATGAAGGAGTCGAAGATATGACTACCAAATGGTGGGAACTGAGATTGCAATATCAAGGAATAATTCCACCAGTTGTTAGAACCAAAAGAGATTTTGATCCAGCTGCTAAATATCATATAATTGCTGATATACCTTACGCACAGTAAGAAATTCAATTCATTTTTAAATTAACCAATATAAGTTTACCCCTACGATATTTTATATAATTTTAATTAAATTCTAACTAATTTATAACAATTGCAGATATTTCGTTGGTACGGTGTTACAATTTCAATTATTCCAATCTCTGTGTGAAATTTCAGGACACACTGCTGAATTGCATACTTGTGATCTTTACAGATCACGTGATGCTGGAAGATTATTATCGTAAGTTTTAAATATATTAAATATTAATCAAATTTCATGATCAATCCAATGCAATTTATTTGTGCATCAACATCATCTTTGTAATAATTATATATGTTTATTTATATAGAGATGTTTTATCAATCGGTGCATCAAGACATTGGCACGATGTTATCAGACAAATGACCAGAGGTAAATCTAACAAATTAGATGCAGATGCTATACTCAAATATTTTCAACCACTTTACGAATGGCTCAAACGACAAAACGAAATGGAACCAACAATTGGATGGATCACGATACAAGAAGACACAGGTTTACAATTGAAATAATTATTTCTAACAATATTCATTCAATATAATTGAAATAATAAAATTAAAATGAACCTTAAATTGTTTTCAGCATTATTCGCTCATTTGTATCAAAATGGTTCGAAGGATTATCCAATTTCCGCCATCTTGTTTATTCTCGTTGCAATTTCAAGCATTTTCTTCTACGTTTAAAGACTGTAACAAACAAAAATATTTATGTATATATATATATATTATAATTATAATAATAAAAAAATTATTTAAATAAATTAAATTATATTGTTAACAAATTTACTGTACATACATATATACATACATACATACACGTATTTGAAATTTTGCAATTTTAAAATGAAATGGCGGGAAAGGTTCAACTGTTTTTAAAAGGCTTTACAAACGAGTTTTCTCCGCTAGATGGTAGTATAGTACTCTATTATCAAATTAGGTTTGTGAGATCGATAAAAGAGATCGTGTATGTGTATAATAACGTGATAAATGTGAGATACATTTGTTAATAAATTATTTTTTAAACGTATTTCAAATATACAATATCAGTATACATTAACATACATATATACATACGTAAACATTCTCAAAAATTAATAATTACAAAAAAATATCAAATTGTCAGGGTTATAAACACTTTGCTTAGTATTTCGCAACGTGTTCTAAAAATTGTTTTTCAAATTCTTCTATCTCAGTGACTACACACACATCATAAATAAACTAATTGAATTATTTACGGATTGCAAATAAAAAAAGGGTTAATTTTGAAAATGGAAGTTGTAATTAATCGTGGATTGAGATTAACCGCGACATTGTTTAAATCTAATTCATCATTTTTAATTAACAATGGGTTCCTATCAACTCGTTGTTTATGCTGCTGCACAGATCCAAAATTATGGATGTTCAAAAACAATGGTAGGTTAGATCAGATAAAAAAGTAAGACTATCTTTAATTTAATTATAAGACCTTATTGATTAATTTTTCTATATTGGTATATAATAATTTCGGCTTTTCAGAAAATAATGCTCATTACAGGACTGCATTGCGTAGTTACTTTTTATTCTCACATGATAACTTTGTATGTCAAAGAAATTTCAAAGTTAACAGACATGACACTATCTTGGCATACTCCATTGATTCACAGAAAAAACCTAACGATGAAAGTAATATACCATTACCGGACAAAAAATTATCCATATTTCAAAGGATGAAACAATTGACCAAAGATTATTGGTATATATTAATGCCAGTACATATAGTTACCTCCATGGGTTGGGTTGCAATATTTTATGTTATTGTTAAAAAGTAATTTTTATATTTATATATTATTCTTAACACAATTTGCTATCAGTGTCGCATACCTGTAACGCATTAATTCCCATTGATAAGTCAGCTTTAAATATTTCATACAAATAATCAAAGTTTATTGATTGCTGCATGGTAGCAAATGTGTTAAGTTAATTCATCTTTGTGTTCTTTAAATTATATTAAAAAAAAACAAACAATTATTGTTTACAGTGGTGTAGATGTTGTCTCTATAATGGAACATTTAAATTTAAGTGAAAAGTATTTAGACATGTTACGCAATTCAGGTGCCGGTAACTGGGCTATTATTTATGCTCTTTACAAAATATGCACTCCTGCCAGATATGCAGTTACCATAGGTAATTATTTAATGACATATATATATATATATATATATATACATAAATAAATAAAAACAAATCATTTATTTTGATTCGATTTGAATTTTCTTTTAGGTGGAACAACTATGTCGATTAGATATCTTAATAGATTAGGATACCTCAAAGCATCGTCTTTCAAAAAAGCAGCAACAACCGTGAGTAAAAAATTAAAAGAATATCGTCGTACTACTAAACATAAATCGGAGAAATAAATTTCTCTTCTTCGAAAACTGACCAATTATAATTATAACTATATATTTATATATAATATTTATATACATATACATATATGTTCCTGAAATGAAAACATGAAACATTGTCTTGTCTTTTTCTTTTCACACGCATCCATACTCGTTGCAGTCTGCGGACGAAACTCTACGTAGGTTTTCAAAATATACTGTGTAGTTGATTAGAAAAACCAATTCTAACAAATATCCTCAATATATGATAGAATTCTTAATCATTTTTTTTTCACTAAAACAACAACAAAAAGTAATATTAATAATAATTAATAAAAATATTTAATTATTATGTTGTAGGTAGAACAGTCGGGAAAATGTACGGCAAAGCACAAACCCGAATTTAAAACAGAAAAACAAACAGAACCACCGAAAACATAATATTGTTATTGTTATTGTATTGTATTTAAACAAATGTGTATCTTGATACGCAAATTAGACATTTTTACGTTTTCAAATTCTTTAAACGCAGCTTATTGTTAATGTAATATTAATTTCATGTAAATGTGATTCATTTTTAATGTTACAATAAAGTCTCGGATCAATATGTACAGATATACATATACATGTACATATAAGCATGCATGTATATGTACATATATAATATATACATCAAATTTATTTAATATATATAAATATACAGGGTATTCTTTTTTTTTTTTTTTTTTTTTTTTTTAATACCAAATTTTACTAACATATATAACTCTACAAATAAAAATTCAATTAATAAATGTTGACAAAATAATAAAATTTCATTGCAATTTTGCATTAGGGTTAAATTAAAGTTCTTATAAAATTATGTTGGTAAAATTGAACGTAAAATAATCCGTAACGTTTGAGTATATTCGTTCTGGAATGATAATTTGTTTTTTATCAGGTTGGTTCGTCTTTATTTAACACCATCTCGTACATAGTGTATATTTAAATAAGAGAGAAAAAGAGATTGTACTTTTATCTACAGTACTCGTTACTTAAAATCTATTGTAAATATGTAAACGATTATATTAGCTAATTCTTTATAAGAATTCATTTTTTATTTTTGTTTTCTTTTCATTTCTTTTCTTTATTTCTAAATTTCTTTCTTTCTTCCTTTTTTTTTTTTTGGCAGTTTTTAAATTGTGCGCTTATATTCTAATATAATTAAGCACGAACTGTATCATGTATGTGTGCATATTTATATTATAAATATATATATATATGTAAAAAAAAAAAAACTGTTAATAAATTCCTCTTGTTCGATTGCAGTTGAAAAAAAAAAAAAAAAAAAGAAATAAATTCTGCATGTGAAAAGAAAAATGGAATGGATTATTTCATAATCTTCGAATTATTCATTTTACCTTATCCAATTTATAATAAAAAAAAAAGTTAAAAAAAAAAAAAAGAAAAAGCGCACAAATCTTTGATTAAATATTATCTATCAAAATATTGCATATAAATATTACAATTAAAATGAATTATACATCTTTTTCATTTCATTTGGGTAATCGTCGTTGATCTAAATTTAACCTTTTAGGCACTACCCGCCATTATAGTGGCTTTCGAGGATAACATCTTTTAAAATATATTATACTTAATTTTATTATTAATTATTAAAGTATGTGTGTATCATTTCTTTGAGAAAAATTATAATTTAATCATAAAAAACTTCATTAACACCTTGCACTATGTTGAAATTCGGAACAAACTGTGCCCTAACCCATGCAGTTGAATAGTTGCGAAAAAATGGCGGAGCTCGAGTGTCGAAACTTTAGTTTAGTTTTCAAATGTTATCTGGACTACAAGAATGTATTCTAAATAACACGTAAACTGCATTGGGAAACAATATATAAAATACCCACACATATAAAGAAGAGTACGACTCGTGATATTCATGTTTCACCCAAAACAATCGATTACGAGTCAGACTCGTGATATTCAGGTCTGACTTAAAATTTTCATCACGAGTCAGACTCGTTTTAGTGCAAAATAGTGCAAGGGATTCAAATAGAACTCGCAACAGTCATTGGTTCGTTACACAATGTAGTTTTATCGTTTACATGTAATTTTCGTTGAATTCTGTCATACAGAGAAACAAACAACCCTGTGCAACGTTTAGCAGTGCCTAAGAGGTTAAAGTGCGTGGGGGTTTTAACGTTGAATTTTTTTTTTCTTCCATAAAACAACCCACTTTGTATTATAACAATAATAATTATTAATAATTAATTAATAATAATAATAATAATAATAAAATAATAACTATAATAGTTAGTAACAACGAGACACGTGTATCTATATATATATACACCAAGTAAAAGGAATAAAGTGTCCTATTCGCCACTTAAATCAATATTATGCTATTATATCACAGTTGCATGCGCAACTTGCTCATCCTAATGAGACCACTGCGTTTCCTGCATTCAAAGTGATTAAACTTTGAAAAAATAAATAAATTACAAAAAAAAAAAAAAACGAAAATATACATTTCAATGTAACATTCGTTTTAAGAATAAAATTTTGAATAAAACAAATTATAGCACTTTCCCCGTCATTTAATTAATATTCTGACGAAAAGTTATTATTAATAATTATTATAAAAAATTTATCTCGTATAAATCAGGACTTCTCAAAATGCGAGTAGCAAAAATGATTTCTGAACTTCCAAGGACCTAAAATGAATTTTAAACCAGTTTGGCAACACTAACACATACGTGTTTTAGTATGTCCCTGAGTTTATGGATAGTGAAAGAAAATATGATAATATAAAGTTTATAAAACCCATGTGTTTGTTAGGAAAATATTTGTTCGTGTAAATGTAGGAAATTTCGTCGAGTGCTAAAAGTATGAGAAGTCCCGTTTGATATACACGATGATAATGATGATGATCCCAAGAGGCAGTGTAAATTTAATAACAGTCTTATTATTATTAATAATTATTTTGTTTTTTTTTCTTTTTCGTTTAAATATTTTTCACTAGAAATTCTAAGCACAATTTACGCACAATAGTGTTATTCATAATAGGATGGCTGTTGTTATGTGCGCGAATTAATTAACAAACAAAAAAAAAAAAAAAGAAAAAAATGATCTAATATAAGCAAATGCGCGTCTAATTGCGCACTAGCACGTACAAGCATACACATATTGATTTATGTATGTATGTATGTATATATGTATGTATGATGTATGTATGTATATAATATTTTATCCCATGAATTGATAACTGGCAGATACCGGCTGTGGTGCTCTTGGTTGTGTATGAGATATACGTTGGATGTGACAAGCACGACACATGAGCCTTCCATCGAGTGGGTAGCACCTTTTATCGGGTTCATCAGTCAATTGCATTCCGCAATCCTCGCAGACGTAACAATCCACGTGAAAGTCTTTGTCCATTGAAACAACTCTAACTGTTTCTTCGGTACCCTATAAAAAAAAAAAAGAAAGAAAAACCCCAACAAAATAATAATTATTTACAATAACAATTTTCTGTTTTAGGATTTTAAATCATAGATATTAAATAATTAATTAATAATGAATTTACCTCAACTGGGGTAATGCCTTTCCCACAAGATGCACATTTTGGTGCAAACATTCTATGGTAATCGTTAACGCAATAGATTTTATTATCTACGTCTACCGTAAAAGGAACACCATCGAGACATTCGTTGCATACGCAACATCTAAAGCACCCTGGATGATAGGATTTACCCATAGCTTGTAAGATCTAGAAAATATATCAAATTCAATGATATTGGATCATTGTATAATAATAATAAATCTTAAATGGTAATGAATCGTACAAGTGCGAATACATATATACATACCATTTCCATAATAAGATGACCACAAATAGCACATTTCTCGGCCGTCTGTTGGAAGCCGGAATACTGCAAAGATAACCTATTCTCTTACACAATATCCCGTACATAAATTGGTTTAACATATTTTTTACCTAAGATAATTTCATTATTTTCTAACAAATATAATTCAAGTCAAATAATCTTACCAAATAATCTTCCTCGCAATAAACTCTTCCGTGAACGTTGTAAAATGCTTTACCGCGTAATGCTCTTCCACAGGAACAACAAATAAAACAATTGGTATGATAAAGATTACCCATAGCCTGACAGGCTTGTCCAGCACCTGTCACCTTTTCACCGCACGTATGACAAATACCTGTTAAAAATATGTCATAAGATTAAATTGTATTATCTTATCCACGAATTTACAAAAAAAAAAAAACTCGTGTAAAAGTTCACCAACAAAATATTGATCTAAGATATAAAAGACTAAATATTTGATTAACTAAAGAATATTATCACCCAATTTAAATATTATCGAACAGTAAGTAACACTAACAGCACTGGGAGGGGATACTCAGTAGGATACTATTAGGTAGGGGGTTATCAATGGGATTCCCCACCAATTCCCCGGGGTTCCCCATGGGGTTCCTCACAATTTCCCCGGTGATTCTAGCAGCTAGATAGACAAGAGAGTACAAGAGATCTAACACAACTAAAATCCTACCAACGAGTCAGACTGGTCTATCTATAACGAGATTAGTTACCACACCGAACGACCTGCTTGCTTGCTGCCTGCTTACCAACCTACCTACCGATACGATACAGCACGTTGCTCGAAGAATAGAATTCAAACGTATGCACACAATACAAAAGCGAACCGCGTTAATAATAACGTTCGGGTAGTTGAGAACACGACCAACTTGGTGACAAAACGATCGGGGCGTGTTTCTTCTTCTCTTCAACCTGTCGTCGTCTTCTACTTTTATTTTTTTCTTTTATTTTTCTTCTTCTTCATATCAAAGAATGAATAGTAATGAGCATTCTAAACCGTCGCATAAAACTTACACGTATATCACCACATACATATATAACACAGTGCATATATATATATCTATATATATTACGAATGCATTCATACATTTTATGCATAAGTTTCATATGCAAAAATTATATTTATATAATATATATATATATATGTATGTATATATTCAGACACACAAATTGCATTTATACAAGACATCATATATGCATTACATTCATGCAGTTCATCACACATGCATCAAATTCAAACTATATTCCTCATCATACATACACATTTCATATAGATATTATATAGTACACACATACAATTACATAGAATGCATATATATTTTCCTAGAACATTGGAATTGGTAAAAGTGGTTTTTACGTAGGTGGTGAAACGCATGGCTTTAAAAAGAGAGAAAGAGAGAGAATGTCAACGAAACGTCGTGTTAAAAAGTATCGCGAGCATGTTGGAACGCAGCTCGATTTTCAGGAACCGGTCCACACGGGTGCTGGCAGCGTGGGAATCGGCACGTTCGATAACCCTCTTATCCTCCTCACTCCTCGTCCCCCTGACCCAACCCAGCCCCCTCGACCCCTATATCTCCCTTCCTCTCTTTCTGCTTTCATCTCTTTCTTTCTTTCTCAATTCTCTTTACTCCCCCGTTCTCTTCTTTATGCGAAAATATATATATGTGTATGTATGTGTGTGTAAAAAAAAGAATAATAGGGAACTTTAATATGACCCAGCAAGCAGCAGCACCTTTTCTTATTTGTGTGAGAAATTATTATGATGTGTTGTTTCTTTCTAAAAAAAGAAATTCAAATGAGTATAGGTCTATGAAGTAGAGAGAATGAGAAAATTATAAGTGGGGGAGGAAGTGAGATAGATAGAATCGTCCTCGTTGGCATTCCTGAACGATTGGCTTTGCATAACAGCTAACAACTAGCATTGATAACAAGAAAATGGGCTTGAATTTTACGTCATGGAATGATAACTAACACACAATATGTTTATTGCTTACTCATACCAGATAACACGAACGAGTTTTCAGTTTTCTAGTTAGTAATTATAGAAAGTTACGAAATTGATTTTATTTTTTGTTAAAATATTACCAAAATATTCTCCTTCCTCTTCTTGTTTTTCCATCTCCTCCTCGAGTTGTCTCGTCAATTCTTCTATCTTCCTTTCCGCTTCCGTAGGACCCTGTAATTAAATAAAAAATAATCTTTTTGTGTTATACGCATTAGAATAAAATTCACAATTCAATTTGAGTAACTTTGCACATTGGTGTTAAGAACGTATGTATGAGCAAAAGAAACGTATGGTTGACCTTATGATTCATCGCGAGTTTCGAGAAAAGAATTTTTTGAAATGACGCGATGCATCGAGAATTAAGAACCTTGTTCCTTGTTCTCACTTTTCATAGATTCCAATATCTTTTTGTTTTAATTTTACAATTTTTATAATGCATTATAAAATTGCACGCAAACAAATAATACATGCGAGCATATGTTTGAATTAAAAAAAGGTTGGCAAAATGCCAGAACTATTGGGACAAGAATTTGTATCATTGACCTACAAAGCTCAATGTTCAAAATTAAATTTATCTTACCGATCAACCTTGGATTTAAAGAAACAAAAGTTCTAATAAAAAGAGAACAAATATATTGATCAAAATTATTTACCGATGGTCTTGGTGGAATGATGTTATAGGGTAACAGTCCTTTACCAGGTGCAGGTTTTATCGGAGGACTAACCAACTTTCTTTCTTCTGGTTCGGGTTCTGAAGATCTTTGTAATACGGGTACACCGGCATTCAAAAATACAGGACCAGCAATACCACTGGTAACACCTGGTGGTAGACTCGTTATTCTAGGTACATTAACGGTGGAATCAGAATCATTTGATAAAGTCACGGTACTGGTCACTGGTGTTTGCACTTGTACACGTACAGGACTTCCCACAGCATTTGCTGAAGAAGGAGGTGAAATGTGTCTAGGAGAATTTGTAATGTTTTGTAGGCCGACATCGTTTTGAATTTGACTATGAGTTGGACTGGCTTTTGGTGAATTACGGATACTATTACTATTTGGTGTAATAACTCTACCAGGATCAGCACGACTTGGTGAATATAAAGGTGAACTCCTTGGACCAGAAGATTCCGTGGAATCTTGTGTAAAATTCCTATCGTTTTGCAAGGAACCTAATCGTAATTGTTCAGCTGAACGATTGGACGAATAGATCGGTGAATTTCTAGCAGGAAAATCGGATCTCGACTCTTGCTGATGATAATTCCTATCGTTCGGTGGTATTGTACGACTAGGCGAATAACACGGAGAATTTCTGCAAGATTGTTGTTCAGAACGACTGCCGTAAACTGGAGAATTTCTAGTTTGACTTTCCGTATTGTAATTTGGATTCATGTTTCTTGTAGATGGTTCTACAAATTGTTTGTAAACTTGTGAATCTTGACGATATTGCGTCTGTTGCATATCATTTTGATGAGATGTGCGATATGGTTGTTGTCCAGTTACACTATTATCCATAGAACTGCGATAATGATGAGGTTCTGGTGGCAATCGTATTGGAGGTGATTCGCTGTGATAAGGTAATCCTGATCGAGAAGATTGCTGTTGTTGTTGCTGTTGTTGTTGTTGTTGTTGCTGCTGCTGTTGTTGTTGTTGCTGCTGTTGATCGTAACTAAAGTTTCTAGTTGGAGTATGTAACTCCGAAGGTGGTACATAAGCGCTTCTACCAGACTGATGATCCGTATTAGATCCTTGTAAATATCTGGATGGACATTCAACAGTAGTACGTTGCAAACAGGACCCATCATAACTCTGTCCCCTAGAATTTATTCCTCTCTGCTGTGTATACGATAAACTTTGAGGAATACCTCGTTGGGCTTGTCCTTGTCCAACTTTTCCAGTCATAATAACATAATCACCTCCATTGATATTAGCAGGATGATAATAATTAGATGGTACTTGCGGTCCAGGTTTATTCTGCGTATTATCCGTATAATGAACCTCCTGTATATTTTCATACACAGGGGGAGCTTCGTAAGGTGGCAGTTCTTTAGCAGGCGATGATGTTTGATAACGACTACCGGTTGGTACCTGAGGTTGCGCTTTTCTAAAATTAGCTTCGTATGGTTCACCAGCGAGTGAACCCCTAGGACTATCCCTTGGACTTTTCCTAGACTCAACGGGATGATAATAAGGAGGCAACGGTTGACTCTGTTGCGGATAGTAGTCTATGTTCTCATAAACAGGTGCTGACTGATTATTAACTCGTCCCTGAGCTTGCTGCTGTTGTTGCTGTTGCTGAGCGCTGATTTGTTCAACAGGTTTAGGAGTGGCAAACCTCGAAGCAGCAATAATATTCTCCCTTTCGTAAAGCTTATAATCATTAGTAATAGTTTGTCTAGCGTTATCAACAGAATTACCTTCTATGAAGCTTTCGATAGCACCTACAGGTCTACCTTGATTCCTGATTTCATTTCTGGCATTAATATTCCTTGTAACAGGCACTTGTCCTTCAGGTTTTGAACCTGACAGTGCCCTGGTGGATGATCCACCACCACCTCCTCCTCCTCCTCCACCACTAGTACCAATAACGTCCGAACTATCATCTCCCAACTGAAGATAACCTAACTTTTGTACGTACGAAGCGTCCGCTGAGTTACACATTGGCAAACGAATGAAAATAATCCTTGATAAAGAACGTCGAATAATTAAACACTCGAGGGGGAAAAAGATATCACTCACTCACTTATTAAAAAAAAAAAAAAAATAAAAAATAAGAAAGATAACCTCAAAAAAAAACACACAAAAAAGAAAGAAAAATTGTATTTAATTGCACCAATTGAAATTCTTATCGCGAGTAAGTAATAAAACTTCGTAGCGTCTCATCGCGATGAAACTCTCGCACAAAGTCGATCCTCTTCGTCCATCCGATTGTCAAATCGAGTTCGATGCTCCGTCTTTCTTTCTCTCTCTTTCTTTCTTTCTCACGCACACATGCACAGTGAACTTCTTTCTTCTCACTCTCACCGTATCTCCCTCTCTCTTTTTCTCACTTGATCTATTCAACGTGACGCATACAATTGTTATCAATAAATCGTGATATCGAACAACAATAATAGACAAAATTTTCTTTCAAATAAAAAAGATGATGAAAATGAAAGAACAGCCAATGACGTACTCAGAAAAGACGCTTTACTACCTTACAATTCTTGGGATACGCCCCGTGATGAAGGCGTCTCGAGCACGCGCGCGTCTCTCTCCTTTCTTTCTTCCTTTCTTACATTACTTGCTTACATTACTTTCCATCTTTATCTAACTTTACAGATTTTTCTTTTATCTTTCTTTCTCTATCCATGTATTTCTTTCTTCTTTTATCTGTTTTTTCTCTTTCTCTCTCTCTCTCTTTTCCGAAAATCACCACCTGCGGAAATTACATATATATACATACGTGTTATGCGCACGCGTGTGTTCAAGAGTATTCGATAATTAGTTCGATTGAAAACCGTACGAGGATGCCACTGTCGCTGTGATTTTCAGCACCATCTAACAGTAGTCATTACTACTGTCAAAACTGTGAATATAGTCATGCGCAGTAGCGATTTAAAGCGCGCGTACATTTGAAACATTTTAAAGAAATGTTAACTTATTATTGAAATGAATGAATTAATTAATAAAATTTAATGTTCTTGATATTTCTATTTACATTTGTTTTAAATAATTATTAGATAGTAAAGATAATTATTGTCATTAATAGAAAAATTATTTAATTTATAAAATTGTACACGTTAAGAAAGTCAACCCTTTGCATTTGAAATACTTTAGAAATAGAATGACCGAGTATTTCTCAGTACACAGCTTGTTGTTTTATCAAAGAACTAAAAAGATTTTGAGTGTAAAGGGTTAATTTTAATATAAGTTATTGAACTATGATCAAGTTGTACAACTGTTATCAAAAACATAGAAATTATTTACACGTACGTGAATATACGTAAGATTTCTTGACTATTTAATCAACTACCTACGCGAGAAAGTAACGAAATTCACGTAGGCGCGAACGTTAGAACGAGTAGTTTCTAGCAGACATCGAAAAGTTAATATTTTCGAAAGGTGATAAAAAAAGGTTCAATTTCCACCTACGTGGTACGAAAGAGTAGCACCCACCTTTACATGGAACACCTGCGTGATCAGGTAATACCTTTCTCACATGAAAAGCAATTATTTAGATAGATCTCGATAATGCGCATGCGTCGTTCGTAATTATTTTGTAATCCAACAAGTTCTTTTCCATGGGATTTGTTCGAATATGGTCAAACGATAGATGAAAAAAAACAAAAAACAAATCAATGGTTGAATAGAATCGTCAAATTATGCTAATCAATACTTACGTAAATTATTATTCTTGACAGTGTTCTTCATCCTTTTCTTCGAATATCCTCGAATCTCTTTTACTTCCATAATAAAACATTCATCTACGAACAAAAATTATTAAATGTAATTGTAAACTTTATTTGATTCAATCAAACAAAACAGTAATTCAATATTCGTATAATCAATATGAACAATATTATTATTGTACTCAATATAATGGTTTCAATTTATAAAATAGATCTCATTGATCACAAAACAATGATCCAATAATACGAGAACTCTTTCTATTCCTAGAAAATAACATTCCAACTCGTTATGAAAAGAAAAAAAGAAAAAAGAAAAATGATGACATAATAACAAAAAGATGTTTAACGTTTTATCCATGATATTTGATGTCATAAATATTCCAAACAAAACATATATACATAATACATGCAACCCATAAAGAGAAATTGTATCGCATGAACTCACGCATGAACAGAACAGAACTAGCAGCATGTTTCTCGAGGACGGAAGTGCAGTGACCAATGCAACTTGTGTCGTTCCAAGTGTGCATCGAAAGAGTGACATCGAGTTCTCGTGTAGGTCCCATGTCGATACGAGGAATAAACAACGAGTTTGTATCGTACGGTTCTGAACACCCACCATAATCACTGAGACAAACACATCCACACACATATAAACCCTTTTACGACACATGGATTCCTACAAACATGCATGAACATATAACAAATACACACACACACATATATAGCTAAATATGCGTATACGTATACCGGGTGAGGCATTTAAAACAAGTTATGTCAGTTGTTATTGATGAAATAACAAACAAAAATATGTCAAACGAAAACTTAATTTTAATTGAATTTAATTAAATTAAGTATTGGCAAATTTAATAAATATATTCTCATAAGTGTATGCATAGGTGTATTTGGTAACATAGAAGCACGCGTGCATCTTGTAACATAAAACGCATAAGGGGGAGTTGTAAAGGCAAGGAGAGCAGCACACAGGAAACGTTGATTCTATGCGCAACGCATAGTTCAGAATCTACGGGAATAGAATCGTCGTAGTCCCTGTCGTGTACCTTCAACTCTATTCTAACTCACACCAACATAAATAACACACGTATGAAGATATACACTAGTTACATCGTACGTGTAATTAGTCGAGAATCCATACACGAGTATACGTGAACGTACATTTAAATGATAATAACGTACACGATGTGTAGTTGAAAAATTTCAAAGAGTATATTTGTATGTGTAAAGATTTCAATGATAATAACATATATGTATAAAGATATTGGATGTATATATGTATGTGTATGTGATTGATGCATATGCATATGATGCACAACACCGGTCTCTCTTGACTGTTATTTTATTTTACTTCAAACTTCATTTTACTTTAATAATTTAATAATATTATTTTTTTTTTTTGTAATAAAATATTATATACAATTTGACAAAAATAATAATAATAATACTAAATATGAGTATAATAGAGATCTATGATCTATAAATTCTATGACTTAGATTTATTTTATCGTTGTTGCATTCCAACGTTCTCACAACTTCCTTTATTGACACCGAATTAAATTCCTATACTTATTTCAAAGGTGTAGACAACTTCTACTATAGGCCTCGAAGCAACGGAAGTTCTGCTTGCTTAGCGTTTCAATGTTTGACACACGTGTATGTATGTGGTGAACGAATATACGCAGGTATTTACATCGAAAAGTGACACGTGTACTTATATATGACAAATATGCCGTTTCTTGATCGTTACCTTGTCAAGAATTTCAAAGGAAATAAGATTTCCCCCTCTACCTACCCCTGAGAAAAAGGTTTGTTTCGTAAAAAAATAAAAATCAAATACAACCCACATCTGTTGGTGGTGTTAAGGAAATCCGATTGCAATTGGTTATAATTTTATCCCGTTTAACATTTAAAATATTTAACAATGACGATATGATTAATATAATTATGATTATTAATATTATTAACAAATTATGCAGTAAACAAAATATTTGATACGTTTGCAGATATTATTATTATCTTATAAATATTTAGCGGGTTTGTTTGAAAAAGTTACATATTATTCAATAAATAATACATTGATTTGTGAATATCAATATGTTACTTTTTCAAAAAAATCTTAATATTAATTCGTGATTAAATATTACCTTAAAAGTGAAACATTAATCATCATTATAGGACACAATTGCGCGTCATCTTACGAGGGAAGTGATTTATCAGGAAATCTTTTAACGTATCCGGAAGACATGTGTACAGTTAGAATACACTTTAATAAAAAAATAAAAATAAAAAGAAACCTAACAATAAGACAATTGTTTTCTTGTGTATCCCTTTTTTTCTTTCTTTTCATTTCATTTCAACATATATTCGATGAAAGACAATATTAAGATCATATTAAAAAAATTAAAAAAAAAAAAATATACCAGGAAAAGTACATTTGATATAAAAATGAATGCATTTCAATTATCAGCACATTTCTAAACAAATTCAAAGTAAAGAAAAAGAAAATAACAAGAAAACAAAACAGATAAATACAATGCATTTCGTTTTGTAATTAAATGCATTCTCAATTATTCAACAGTGCTACTAACAACGAATAATAAATAAAAAACAACAGACTGGTCATTGATGCAAATAAATGCATCGTTGACAAGTTGAACAACTTTTTCAACGATGAGTAATGAAATATACAAAAAAGAAACTCCCTAAAAAAAAAACCAGAATAATTAACAATTGTTTATAGGTTATAAAAAAAGCTAATATTATTACTTGGAAATAATCTCGAAGATATTATCCACCATCTCATGGCCGTAGGTGCTGCAGTTCCCATCCATCCATCCATCCTGGGAGAGACAATAGGTCTCCTCTCTCCTGACAAAGAGAGGAGAGAGACTGCTTGCCAGTTCGCTTTCCTTTCTCAGAGAGAGAACCGGGAGCTTGGAACGACGACGACCGCAACAAGGGGTCTGCTTTACTGTGTTCCTTTTAAACTTTCAATGTATATATAATTTTTAAAATAACAGAAGTATGTAATAACAATAACATTTAAATAAAATCATTATTTGTGTATTTTCTATTTTTGTATTAGTTATCCAATTAATTCATTAACACTAACAAAGTAACCAGTCATCGTCATTAAACTGGTGTCCTGTAATTTTTAAAAACCTATAAAGGTTTATTTGCTATCCATATGTTTGATATATGGTTTTGACAAATTAAAACTGATTATAAGCTGATCAATGGTATATGGAATGTTACATTGGTACATGAACAGATTGTATCATTGATGATATAAATATATTAATATTAATAAATTAATTAATTTGTTAACGCTAACCAACTAACCACCTATCATTATTAGAACATGTCCTGTAATTTGTAAAAACCCATAAAGGTGTATTATGTTTCTATATAAAAGAATTTTCTTCACCATCCATATATTTGATATATGGTTTTGATTTGAACTGGTCAATGATACATGGAATGGTTGTCCCATAAGACTAATTATACTATTGATATGGTATAAATATACCACACACACAATTAAATTCATACAATTGAATTAAACAACATTTGATAGAAAAAATATAACATAAATTTGAACAATTCCACAAACAAACCTCATACCAAATTGTAAACCTAAAATTGTTATTAAAAATCAAACATAACATATTTCTTATTTTCTTCCTTATAATTCATATACGACATATTAAAATAAATTAATTAACAGTGATTGAGAACTATGAATTAAAAAAAAAAGTAAATTAGATGAAAGTCGATAATAATTGATTGTTCATTAAGTTTCATTGTGAACACATATAAATAATAATAATAATAATAATAATAATATAAAAGTATATAGTTATAAGAACGAGTTCGCATATTATAACGAGAACTTAATTCTCTTCTCTCACGCAATTCAGGAAGGCCGTTATACACGAAGGACGC